AAGAATAATTTTGGTGGTCTTAAAATTGTTGTCGGACGATTGGTCCCGTGTTTAAATATAAGTCGCGTTTTAAGCGTGACTTCATAAAATCACACCGTCCGACGGGTCGTATCTAATATACACATATATAAATATATTTATATATATATATATACATATATTTATTTCTCTCGATTCAAATAATTATAGAGACAAATTAATTAAAGGTAAAAGTTATTAAAGTACATTTATAAAAAGGTTATACACTTCTTTAGATGGTCATATTATTTTTATTGTGTTTAAATTTGTTTCAGGGTAGTTTATAGGAAAGACAAAAAAATAAAATTTACATAGGTATATTTAATAATATTATAATCCGTTATTTAATGTATTATTATAATTAATAATATAAGAACTAAAATAAATGTGTAAAAAAAGTCTATTCGGATAGACTGAATTTTTTTAAGTCATTTTGACCAGTTGACCATGGCTAAAACCAAAATTGACTGAATGAGAGCCATTCAAATTTCAATAAATAATACATTTTTACAATTCACTATAAAATGCATATAACCATTTATAATTATTTATTATTGGTTACTTTTTGAATATCTTTACGTATTTTTTTTTTTTATACGTGTTATAAATAAGATTAACATAATATGGATATAAAATTATTTAATTATTTAATTTAAAAATGTATTATTTATTGAAATTTGAATGGCTCTCATTCAGTCAATTTTGGTTTTAGAGCCATGGTCAACTGGTCAAAATGACTTAAAAAAATTCAGTCTATCCGAATTTGGTATCAAAACTACCTGTTGCTATTAAAAAAAAGTAAGTTGCATTGCGCATGCGCGTACCGAAGGGTTTAAAAATTTGAAATGTATCTGAAAATGTGTATTTATATACCACAAGCTTGTAAAAAAAAATCGATTTATTCCAACATAATCCAGCCGAGAATTTCAGTGTTCCCTAAATTGGTGAACACACGGTATAATATAACTAGGTACCTAATGATAATAATTATCATTAGGTACCTAGTTATAATAATTCAATTACGTATAATATATTATGTACTTTTGTTTGAAATAATATATTTTATTTTGAGGTTTTTTTACACATTTATTTTAGTTCTTATATTATTAATTATAATAATACATTAAACAACGGATTATAATATTATTAAATATACCTATGTAAATTTTATTTTTTTGTCTTTCCTATAAACTACCCTGAAACAAATTTCAATACAATAAAAATAATATGACCATCTAAAGAAGTGTATAACCTTTTTATAAATGTACTTTAATAACTTGTACCTTTAATTAATTTGTCTGTATAATTATTTTAATCGCGAGAAATAAATTCCGCGCGTGTATATTAGATACGACCCGTCGGACGGTGTGATTTTATGACGTCACGCGTAAAACGCGACTTATATTTAAACACGGAACCAATTGTTCGACAACAATTTTAAGACCACCAAAATTATTTTTTTTCAAAGCCCTATACATTAACAAAAATAAAAAAAATAGGTTTTTTTAGTTGTATAGTCCTTTAAAAAAAAAAATACTGTACTATGAGATAATAAGCAAAGAAGTAACTGATTTTTAGAAGTTTTTTTTAAAATTAAATCTTCAATTGAATTATAAGAAATGGTATTTAAACTTTATTTTGCTCAATTCAACCTTAAACTTTTTATTCTAAATTTAGCTCTTAACACTTTCTTGGATGTTGTGCTTGTGTTTTCTTAATGTAATATAAGTTGTGGTTTTTTTTATGGCGTTAATGACAATACATTTTTTTGCCATCTGACGTTCATTTTTGTTCATGCGGAATTTACTACTCAAGTTAAGGCAATGCAAACAACTCTTTTAATTTGTTTTTTACTATCTAATATGCACTTGTTATTTCGTAAACGCCGATTTAGTCCTATACTTATCATACTGTTCTGGATATTAATCTTCAGATGGGCAGTGGCGGGGGGGGGTCTAAATATTAGGTACCTACAAGTTTATAATATAAAAAAAACACATACGAGTTACGATGTAATAATTATATTATATGATATTTTTTTCTGGGGGGGGGGGGGGTCCAGACCAATATAAACGTTATAACCATTGAGTAAATTTATCATATTTGTTATATTTGTAACTAATGGTCAATAAGGTATAGTTATACCAAATTGTTTTAAATCAATTAATTATGTCATTTATCTTAAAAGTGCTGACCATATATTTTCAAAAACTTATATCACTACATGGTGTCACAAAATAAAATGTGACAAAATGGATATTTATCACCATTTGTTTTGTATTCCCAATCTTCTGGAAGGGTAATTGTTGTAAATATTTTCCTAAACATTATTTTAGGAAAATATTCAGAGTTTGGTGAGATTATGTTTGAAGTAGGCTTAACAATGACTTTTCTGACATTCAATAATATTAATAAATAACATAGTATGAGTAGTCACAAATATACATGCATTACAATACAATTATGAATAAATACAAAACTAATAGAATAAACTGGTATTTTACTGCGTTTGACGAGAGAATTAAAAAATTAAAATTTGTGGTAATGAGGCTCTTTAGCAACATATGAGGACATACTCAATTACCTACTCGAGTTTAACGGGTGGGGCAACATGATGCTCGTTATCCGTTTATGATTAATATGATTTTGAGTGCCTTTCGAAAAACAGGTGTTTCTGTTGATATTGTTGACAATGGCATGATATACTATATAATGACATGATATAGGACATTATATACTATAATTGATGCACACATCATGATACGCAGGGGTGGAATGGCCGGTCTGGAAATGGGAATTTTCCAGATGGCCTGGACCATACTATGGCCTGGTGGCCTGGCCATTTTGTTAGATTTTTTTTTTTAATTTAATTTAATTTACAAAATATTATTTAATGCTAAATGTTTGTTTCTATTAAATTTTTTTTTTTTTTTAAATTAATTAATTATTAAAGCTTTGGATATAAAATTACAAAATATTTGGCACATAAATATAGACATAAAATAAAATCAAAGCAATATAATATTGTAATATTGTAATAGGTCGGTTATTTTTATAATAAAACACCCATTTTAAACATTGAAGTATTTAAAAATTAGGCTGAGAAATTCAATGACCAATGATTATCTTGAGTCTTTTATGCTTATGGCCATTGAAAATAAAATTCTCATGGAAATAGATAACAATATTATCATAAATGCAGTTGGTGAGAAATCTAATCTATTATCTAAATTATTACTATGAATGTATAAATCTTTTTTATTATATATTGTTTACAATGTATGTATTTATCTATTACTTATTACCTTATATCTACTATACCTAAACAATTAAAACACAATGTATAATATATTTATTAATATTTCCGTTGATTTCAACTATTAAACCATACCTACAAATTTTATTGTTCAGACTTTCAGGAATAAGTAGGTACTTAGTGGTATATTAATATTATGTGTTAGAAGACACAAGTTAAAAGAAATAGCAAGATAGTGATTGAAATACTTTTATAATACTAAAAGTAGTTTTCAAATAGGTAAATAGAAAAACCAAATTCGAGCCTAGCGAGAAAAAAAATTTTGGTGGGTGGCCTGGATAAATTTTAAACTCCCGGCCTGGATTTGGTTCCCACTCCGCCCCTGATGATACGCATCCTCCTCACCAGCCGAACATCAATCTGACAAAAACGGCGCTGATCTTTCATCGTTTTTAATTTCTCATTACTTATGAAAATATTATTAAAACCAATGAAAAATGGCGAAAGGCCGTTGCCATCTTTGCGCAACATAGTACAAAACTTGGTTCGTTTCCCTCATACCTAGCTTATTATATCATGGGTAGTGTTTGAAGTATGAGAAATATTTCACTAAGTTGTGAAATATTTCACAAAAACGTGAAACATTGAAATTTTTTTTAACACAAATAAAAACATAATTTATTTATTTTTTTAACACAATGTTCAGTGTTCTAAATTCTAATGTCAGAATTCAGTAAGTATAAAATATACATGTATAATATTGTATACCTACTTGTATCATTTAAACATTAAAATATTTAAAAATTTTGAATACCAATTTAAATGTATAATACCAAAGGTTAGGTATACATACAGGTACCATATAGGGATGAAGGTAATTTATGACAATTAATGTAAATATAAAACTTATTTAAAAATAAAACAAAATCTATTAAGATACTGAAATATTTCACGAAATATTTCATTTTTTTAAATTTCATGAAATTTTCAAACACTAATCATGGGCAATGTTATAGAAATTAATTAACTATCGAAAATCACAATATATCCGATTATCGAGAATTAGTATTACTGTGAGTGGTTTTATCAGACTATAAATATTAATCAATTGTTGAAAAATTAAATACAATTGAAGGGCGACAAGTCATAACGTGGTATTGCCAAAATTACAGTTCTTCATAAAAACGGTTTTTATGTTTTGACTTATAGCTCTTAAAGTTTTGCATTTAACTGTTTTATTTTTGTCTTTAAGAGTAAAACATACGGAATTGTACTTATTTATGGAAGAAAATTGATCTTTATTCACATTTTAAATGGTTTTTTTCGTCAAAATTAAAAATCACTTTTTTCAAAACGTGTTATTTCCGGAAATAACACGTTTAGACAGAATTGTTGGAAATATTGCGTTTTGATAAAACGTTATTTTAATAATAAATTATTAAAATCTGAAAATGTGAAAAACAATAACTTATTGCAAAAAGTACTCATTGATCTATATGCTGATAAATAGGTAAGTAGATAAATACGATTATATATACATTTTTAGTAATAAACTAACTGCATTCTATTAAATTTTAAAACACTAATAGTTTAATCTTTAAACTTCAACCTTTATATTTTTTTTAACAATATATTATTGTATACATAATAACATATAATATTATAAAACGAAATAAAAAATAAATGACAATTTATTATAATAAAATAATAAATTAAACTACTTATTTTAATAAGATGTATCTTCTGAATAAATGCAAGCACCTTCTTCGTTAAGAGCTGAGTCTTCAATCGAATCAAATTCATGTGATTTAAAAATGTCTTCATAAAATGAAGTGGTTGTTGGTACTGTGAAAAAACGCATCAAATTTTTTATATCCTTTTGTTTTGGGGGTTTCACGTGGTTTTGTTTTTTAAGGATTTCCAATGTTCCCAATAATTCAATTCTTGAATTTTTTTTTATAATTTTAAAATAAACATAATCGTCAGTATAGTTTTGTGAAACACCAATGGTTTTTTTGCCTTTTTCGTACAACAACATCTTTTGTTCAGTTAGTTTAAATCCTTTTGGATTTATAATGGACTTGCATGCTTCTTTTATATTGTACACTTTAAAATCATTTTCATAGGTTTTTACCTGGCAAAATTGTTTGAAAATATCATGGTATTGCGTAGGACACACAATTATTTCTTTTTTGCGAAGAACTTTTTCTATCCTACCAAATACTTGATCTGCAGCCATATAACTGTGTCCTCTGATAGGAAAAATGTGTTTGATTTTATCAAATATAGTCTCTTTACAATTCATATAATAAAGTAATAAACCCATTATAAATTTATTTTTATTTTGACCAGAGCATGAGTCGGAATAAAGGTTAAGGTTCGTGGGTGGTCTTAGCTCTGTTTTGAACCGTTCTTCAAGAATGTCCAAAAAGTTTAACAAAGCTGATCCAATCTCATTTGGTCCACGACCACTTTCACCTTCATGCCATGTATATAAGTAGCAGTTATCTTTACTTTGGTCATTCTCTGACATTATAACAAAAGTAAGGTTATAGACCCATGCTTGCCTACTATAAAATGTATCTGTGACACTCAGTTTAGGAAGCGGTTGATTTTGCATCATATCAAAACATACCTGAACAGTATTCGGTAATTTTTCTGCCATCATTCGAGAAAAACATTTTGATTTATTTTTGTGTTCCAATAATACATCTTCCAAATCAACTTTTTTCTGAATATCAATTTCATTTTTTATTTTAATTGAAGTTTCAGAACAAAATGAACAGACATCTTGTCTCGGATGTCCAAAACTCAAATTAAAATTATTACAAAAAACATCATAATATTTACTTAGAGATGCAGTAGATTGATTACTAACTTCCCTCTTTTTCTTCCAATGTTTCCACATAACTGCCACAGATAAACCGGGTTGCAAGTAACTACGGCCTGTATCTTCTCTACAATAATGACTCTTTTTACTTTTAAAAGATTCTATATGGTTTTTAATAGATATAGTTATTTCGTCAAATGTATTTACCCTTGTAATACTAAATCCTCCTCTTTTTTCTTTGGGGCTACTATGACTTTTTTTGAAGTTTAAAGCTAGTATATTTAAACGCCTTTTTGTAATTCTTGTAATGTCAGTAAATGCAATTGAACAGACTTGAAGAAGGTCACCTTTTTCTGTAGGCAAATAATAAACAATCACTGTTTTTTCTTCTTTGTTTCCTTTGCGACGATCCGTTCTCATTGGACATTTAATTTTCATCATTGTAAGGAGGAATTTATCTTGTTCTATTTTGGAAGATAAATCACATAAATTTGTTTTGAAAGCGCTTATATCAGTTGGCTTTAAAATTGATACATTACATTTTTTTGATACTTTATTGGAGTGAGGACATGTAAGTAACCACTCATGAGGAATTTTGTTTAATTGTATTTGTCTTATTTTCTTTTGATTTATTTTATTTCTTTTTCTACCACTTGGATTTGTCTGTACAGGTTCAGCATACTCAGGATTTGAACTTATGTTTGAGATTTTAGCAGGTGTATCATGTTCAGTTATTTGAAGATCAGTAGTGCATGGTATTTGTATAACAATAGGAAACAAGTCATCAAGTGGTGTGTTATTGTCAGGAACTACTTCATCATTGTTGTAAATAAAATCCATTTCTTGGATGTCTAGATCATTCTATATATATATTAAATAACACTAATTAAAATAATGTAAAAATTAATACAATTTTCATATTTTTACCTCAGGAGTATTTGAAAATAATAAAGTGTCTGTAAGCTCTGTATTTTCACTAATATTCAGAAGATCCTGGTTCTAAAAATATTAAATATAATTTCAAACATTAGCTTAATTCAATAAATAGGTAACTCCACTTAAACAATCTCACCATATTAATAATGTCTCTCGAGTTGTTATAATTCAGTGGTTGACATGCATTTAACCAATTTGTAACTTTGTCCTACAAGACAAAAAATACTCTTTTAATAATTATTTCAATTACCCTAAGACTATATTATTATATTTGCATACATTGAATACATTTTCATCGATTTTGTTGACAGATAAATCAATTTTGTTTTGTTCTTCATAAGCAGTATCCTAAAATATAATAATATAATATTAGTTGTTGTGTGATTAAAATTTGCTAGGACACATATTTTTCTATAATTTATTGTATCTAATTTTTAATATATTATTATACTTTAATGGAGTTAGATTTGCTGCTGTTACTGAATGATTTTTTTTCACAAGACATTAACCACTCATTAATTTTATCCTAGACAAAAATACATATGATATACATACTGATCTACATTCATAAATATAAAAAAAATAAATCAATACAAATATATATACAACAGTAAAATATTAAGATAGAGATTTTAAAATAAATATTAAATAATAAATTTTCTTATAGGTTCAGAAATCCATGTTTTCATCACTAGTCTAACTTTTTTTCTACATTTTAAAAGATTTTGGAGCTTAATATAATATTGACTTAATAAAAAAAAAAAATTATAATTTCTCTTTTTGTAAAATGTACGTCAACTACCTCCTACTAACTTTAGATGAATTTACATTATACATTTTAATATTTATTTATTTGTACACAAGGCACATAAAATATTAGTAAATGTTTTTAAATTATTAATATTAGGTACCTTTTAAGTAACTACCTATTTAACTTATTAGTTATTACTAATAAGTATTATTGAATATTGATGAATAATCTTTATAATAATAATTTAAAAAAATACACAATATTAATTTATTACCTACCATTTAACATTTTAGTAGAGGTATTAGGGAAAGGAGTATTAATTTATCAAAACGGTACAGTATTATGACAGAATAGGGTATAATATTTAAACAAATAAACATTAGTTTTAACAATATCTAAAGAAATATATAATTATGTCAAATATATATTTTAATATTAATTTTATTATAAGGTAAAATATCCTACTTACTTCAGTTTTATTGGCTAATTTATCAATATCACGCTTCCCTGCTTGAGTTGAAGGTGGAAAAAGATTTCTGGAGACCTATTATTTAATTTATAAACCAACATTTATAAAAACGTGTCTATTTCAGTATTTTGGTTACTTCTTACCTTTTTAGCAGCTTCAATCATTCTTCTTGAGCGTTTCATTCTAATTTCAATTGTATTGCAAAGGAAAGTAATTCATATAATAGGTATTATAATAATAAATTACCTATATTATTATATTGAACATTTGAACGACAGAACAATAATAATTATTATTCAGAACTTCGGTAGGTGACATTAAAATATTTATGGTATCACATTACCACAACACACATAATTTGATAACTCGCTATACACAAACCAATATACTTAAAGGAATAAACTATTTTTAGAAATATCGGAATGTTTGTTTACTTATTAAATGATAACACATTCACTGCCAGCGCACAGCTGTGTATTTACAAAAACTTAAAACTTTATTATTTTTCAAACCGGAATAATATTTATTTTGGTAATAATACGTTTTGATAAAAATTACACGTTGCTTCGGATATTTAGCATGGGAAATACTACGTTATGTCACAATTTATGGAAATAATACGTTCTGAAAAAATGTATTGGAATTGACACCTTTTGAGAAAACAGGATATTGAACCCTATACCTTATGTATAGGAAATAATACGTTTTGACACAAAAATGGAATTAACACGTTATGAAAAAAAAGGAGTATGGAAATACAACGTTTTGACCTAAATTACACTTTTTGAATTGCATTTTTCTTTAATATAAGTGAAGTTAGCAACGAATTAATGACAGAAATGAACTTCCCGCCATATTTTCAATTAGAATCGATGTATAACTCAATTTTGATAAAAATGGCAATACCACGTTATGACTTGTTGCCCGTCAATTATTCAACATAATATTTTTTGGTATATTTGAAAGTAGTTTATAAATATCCCTACCCACCGCAAATCCACCACATCACTAAGAATCGTTTTTCGTATGTATACAATTTTAATCTCTATCATTGGACTATTTTTATTTGTGTTATAATACTGTACTAAATATAATATTATATAAGAAGGTTAGTTTTTTTTTTTGTAAAATACTCTTATTTTATTATTATGTTTCCTGAATATAATATATAAATTACATTAACTGTAGGTGGGTTGATTAACGATTTTTTTAGTAAATCAGTATGCGTTAATCATACCTATAGGCTATAATATGTTTATCTGAAATTAAAAACATGTGTTTAAGATGCCAATATAGCCCCTTCGACGTGTACAATTTTCATACGTACCTACTACCTACCTACTATTTATTTACTCAGGTGAAAAAAAAAACAACAATAATGTACTTATATGGTGTTTACAATGAATGGCGAATTATTGTTTCATATTATTCGAGTTGTTACTGAATCATCAACTTAATATGAGTATAGATTTTTTGTTTTTTCAAAAAACAGAATATTATATGGTTTATTTCATACAAAAAGTTGAAATTTGAACGAGTATAACAATTATAGTTACCTATAAGTTTTTAAGTTTAGATTAATGGAATGAAGTGGCACAGTGCTACATCTAGGCTCTAACTAAATAATATCTACATTAACCCTGTTCCATCAATGATCTAAGTCCTATACTCTGAGTAGACTACTCTATTCTTTTTTAGGTGCATAACATTTCATTATTTTGAGTGAAATCATTTGAAAATGTATACAAAGTTCCTCATGAGTTTCTCATACCTCAGTTTAAATGTTCATTGTTATAAATAAATAAAACTTTTAGATTCTGAGTGGAACGATGAATGTATTGATTTTACAATGATGTGTGTTTTATTTTAATATTTTTTTTTATTTTTTTTGTGTCTGTGTACACGATAAGTAGTCGAAATAATACTTCGATTTTCAACTTCAGTATCTTGTTCGATTGTGAAGTGAATATCGTTGGTGCATTGGGGAGGTCAAAATTTAAAATTCCCATTTCCCAGTAATTTTCAAAAGCACCAAGAAACACAAAAGAAAAATTAAGGAAAAACTGGAATTTTTACGCAAAATCGAATTTGGTTTTTAGTGTAACTTTAAAACAAATTACCGTAGATAAATGAAATTTTCACTGGTTGTGTATATTTGCATTTTCTAAACACGATAATATTTTCAAAATATTTTGTTTTATTTTGAATTGTTTAGGGACATTTTCATTTTCCATTTTTTTTTAGTTCTTTTCC